CCGAATGTAAACATGGACTCTGGCTGGTAATGATGTATCAATGTAGTTTCATCAATGGCAACAAACTTTCCATGCTGGTGGGAAGTGCTGGTAGTTGGTGAGCCTGAGATACATGGGAAATCTCTCTCTCTCTCTCTTTTTTTTTTTTGGTGTACCTAAAACTGCTCTAAAAAAATAGTCTATTAAATTTGTTTTTCTGCATACATCTGTTTGCTAAAATTCAACAGTAGCATTCCTAACCCATATCACTTTTAGGTTTATCACTTTTATAGTCACCTTGGGGTTTACCTAAAAATAGTCTACAAAGCATATACTCACTCAATGAAATACAAAGTATTTTGATTGCCGCAAATCAGGTACTAGCTAAGAAAATATTTTTAAAATACATTATTTTATTTCAATTTACAGTAATCCTTTTCCCTTTACCCAAGGGACCCTCAGTAAATACCTGAAACCACTGATAGTATCAAACCCTATATATGCAATTCTTGTTCTATGTGCCCTGAAGCACTGCCATATAGTAACTGAGTTAATCTGTCCTTCCATGTTTGCGCTCTGGTGCCTCCTTTGTATCACTATTCTTGTGATTTGGGGCATTATGAAAGAAGATAAGGGTTACTTCAATGTAATCACTGTGATGCTGAGACAATTGATCTGATAAGGTGGCTGCTAAGTGACTGAGAGGAAGGTAACATATAGTGCATGGATACACTGGGCAAAGAGGGGACTTACATACCAGGTAGGATGAAAAGCAGACAGCAAATTTTTGTTATGCTCCTCTGAAAAGCATATAACTTGAAACTTATGAATTGCTTATTTCTGGAAGTTTCCACTTACTTATTTTTGGACCACAGTTGACAGTGGTAACTAACAGGCAGAAAGCAAAACCTTGGATAAAGAGGCTACTGCAGTTCTGTTTTGCCACTTTGATCTTATCTCCTCAGTTAATAGTTCTATGAACACACTTAATTTTCATTTATGTACTCATTTTCCAAATTGTCTTTCAACTACTTTACAAGAGTTTTCAAGTGTCAGGAAAATCTTAAGGAAAAAACAGCAAGCATACAGTACAGTCTACATAGAACCACAAAGACAAGTATTTATGATATTCACTCCTTATACTGTCTTGTTAAAACTTTGGGTTATTCTTGCCAATGCTGGCCACAAACAACTGTTGCCTTCTCAGAAGGCTGACCCAGACCCAGGGCCTCAGTGGTTTCTGTCTCCCTTCCTCTCATCTTCAGGCTCCTTCTGGGATCCTCCCCTCCTACAGTTGGAGCACATTGCGCAAGGAGTTAATGAGTCTATGGAGGTCTGGGGGTGGGGCGGAGACAAAACATACTCAGCCCCTGCAGTGGTGCTCAAAATGTGGAGTTGCAGAGAGACAATGGGGCCTTAGCCAAAGTTGCTGAATGGTTGGGCTAAAGAGGAGCTTGCCAAATGGACAAAAGCAAATAGGGTAAAATTCCTGCCACAAAAATCTTTCTTGAATCAATGAAAGAATGGCTTAGGGGCATTCTTTTAGGAAAAAAAATCCAGCTGCTGTCATTTAAACAATTGTTGCTTAATAATGTGCAGTGATTTCATATATTTTTAAATATCACGTAAATTGTATTTATGGTCAATAAAAATAATTCTCTTAAAATGATAAATAAGAGAAAAGCTAGCCTTACATGTTTCATTTACTACACTTAATTTCAGCACTCAACTAAAGAGCATTCCTTAGACTTTTAAAAGTTATTACTGTAAGTACATGGCAGAGAAAATTATGCCATAAATCAGAATATCAGAATGCAAATACCATACAGACTGAGCACTGATGGAGGTTACGAAGATGCTGTCCTAGCTAATGAGGTACTCATAGCACAGCATGAAAGGATGGAACTTTCTAAAAGAGTGTACCCTGTTTAATTATTTTATTGTGACATTTCCCTATTCACTCAGTCTCACAGAAATGGTCATGCGTTTTGCTCGATTTCAGGGCTTTGAATTAGAGGAAGCTTCAGTAGAGGTGGTGGTGCCTTGAAAGCCCATTGCTATTTGTTTTTCATTTCACCAGGTGCTAAGAAAAGGTCACTGCCTTTTGAAAGGAAGCTTTCTTCAGTGGAGCTGAACGGCAGAGACTGAAGGCAGTGAATTTAATGGCAGCCTTGGCTTTATCGTTTTCGTGGTGGACTATCCTACTCTTCACACACTCTTCAGCTAAGTTTTGAAAATAACAGTGCACATGCTGTTCTGCTCCAAGTGGGTCACCTGCCTTGAGTCTGTGCAGAAGGCTCAAGTTCATGCACTGACCAACCTTTGTCCTCATTAGAGCTCTCCAACAGAAAATAGATGACTTCACCAAAAAGTGACATCCTCAGACTCCTGCTCCTTTCTCTCTGAGACTCTTAGCAGTATAGTACACAGCGTAATTATGCTGGAATAACATAGATCCTGATTCAAGTGGAAGATGGATAATTGAAAATGTGGGTCTCCTGGAAGCCCCACAGCTTAATTATTGGCACTGGGAACAAAGTCTTCATATCCACAGGCCTGTGTGTCTAGGAAGGTGAGGCTGCTACACTTGGTCAGCACCTCGCTGTCAGCTTCAGGCTCTCCCCCAAACTCATTTATCTGAGCCATGAATTGCAGGTCTAGCCCCTTTCTTTAGACAATAGGCTATTCAACTGGTCATCCTAGTCATCTAAAAAAAATTGGAATTCATCTAGACACCTGCCAAGATACTACTCACTGTTGTCCAGTGATCCCAAACATTTATAAATCTAAATCTCAGCTGTATTTATTTTTTAAAAAAGGTAATACATGTATATGGTTAAAAAATTTAAAGACACAAAAGGAAAAAAATCATGTATGAAGAGGATGTGTACTAAGGATCTCCTTTCATTTGCAATTCGCTGGGATGCAACACAGTGTCCCTGGCTTTGGGAATCCATCAAATTAACGATTGTTAACAATTGTAACTTTTGTTGGGTAAGTTTGAGGGACTCCTCTTCCGCTGAAAAAATCCCTAAACTTCGGTACACTTAAAAATTATTAAATTATCCCCTAGCCATTTTAAATACCAGCAAATGGTATAATTTTTACCATTATTGTGAATATAATTAAATAGAATTTTGAGAAAATATGTTCCAGTCAGTCTCATGCATTGAATTCATCAATTTTGTGACATTGGGCACTTCTTAAGTCACTCTTCACTGTCAAATCAATCAGCTGAATCTGTCAGGAAAAGTCTGACTTTTTTTTCAGTTCAAGTGACATGTTAACACATGCCTTGTGACACACATGTGATTTTTAAGGCTTAACTCTGAAGTAGATGAATTCTTGGAAGGAGGTTTCCCAAAAAATTGCCACCTGGATAAATAATCAGGTAGTGCCCAATGGGATTTTCCTCTTGCAAAAGTCTTATGGGAATTGTCCCTTTGTTTGACTGTCCAGAGATTGTACAACCCAGATTAACACACACATAGTTTCCTGATGGGTTGCACTTCATCTTCCCTCATAAAGTGAGAAGGGATAAAGAAGGAACGGGCGTGTAAAAGGGGAAGCAGCCATTCAGTTATAAGAAAGAGTGCCTAGGGAGGTGAGGCATGGGAATTGCTTCTTTATCAGAATCTGTATCTACTTCTGCCTTGGACAGACTCTGGGGACCCTGGACACAGTACACATGTTGGAATTCAGTTGTTCTGAACAGGCAAAGAAGGTCAGTTTAGTTCCAGAATTAGAAAGTAGGTTCTCAATCAGACTTGGAGTGTTACATCCCCTTGTTGGTAGTTTGTGGTTTGAGGGGCTCTGTCTTTCCTGTGAGTGGATCAGCATTTCCGTAGGGCTGTGCCACAAACTTGTCTGGAATAGGTAAGCGTGAGTAATGATCCTGAAGTTCTGTGAGGTGTTCGAGGCTAGCCTCCTGGCATGATCCCATGGTGACACCAGGATGAGTGTCCAGTAGTCACAGCAAAGCCATGTTGGGACTCTGGTTGTTTGTCTCAATGAGACCTTTCACATTACCTCATCATATTTTCTAATGATAATATCAAACCTCAGAAATATTTATTTTCATTTTAAACATTACTCCAACATATATGCAATTCTATGTCAATGTCAGCCAACGTGGAGAGTACATATGTGCAATACTGTCTTTGTTAGGTAGCACTTTTTTCTCATAAATTTCAGGTAATGTTAAAAAGTGAAAGTAGTTTCTAATACCACATACACTTAGCTTTATTTTCTTGTTACCATTTTTCAAGTTGTAGTAATACATACTCTGGGGAAAATGCTTTCATGACCATTCTTAGTAACGCATCTATTAGAAGATGGTGGAAATCCTTTCTTTTACCACAAGTGTGGAGAATGTTCCCCTGGGCAAATGTGTTCATTGGCCTTGTAGATCATCCCACCTCCATCATTCACATGCCTGTTTAATACATGAACCAGCAGTAAATGCTGTTCAGAGTACATACGAACCTTAAATGGACCAAGTGACTGTTATACAGTCTTATACTCTGAAGTGGGTAGCTTAATTTTTCTTACTGATACTGCATTCCAAGGTGTATTTTACAAAGTACCATCAAAATGACACATTTTCATGAGAATTCAAAGATAAGTGTAAAATTGATTAATAAATTTATCATAATTACTTTTTGAAAGCTTGCTCTCTTACCAGTTTTCCTTTAGATTATTTTCCTTCTAGACTTCACAGAAGGTATAAACTGTTAAGAATAATGGAAGGTGATTTTTCACTTCTGTAAATGTTTCACTTATTTATTTTTACATACATGATACATGAAAGACATGGATATTATGATAGTAAAATATTACCTTTTCTGGAAAGACGTTAGTAATGTTTTTGACATTACCTCTAAGAATGTAGACAATTAAGCCTACTTTCTAGCAGAAATATATGTTGATGTCCAGAAAAGAACGTCATTAAAAATAGCTTCTTTTTTGCTCAATATAATCCTAAATGTGTCAAAGTACATATTGACTTTTACTGGTGTTACCTTAAAATTTTTGTGACTGCTGTCTCCTTTTCTAGAAGGTTCCTTGCTCTGATGCTGAAAACAGACTTGCGAAGCTGAAAATTATAAGAAAACAATTTTAGTTTGGGAATGTAAGCCAAAAATATAATGACAAATCATTAAATACATGACATTAGTAAGACAGCCATGAATGTTTTTCAGTTAAGCATTATCACATCCCAAACTTTGTGGGACTGCCTGTCACTGCCAAGGGATAGGTGCTAGACATGTACCACTGTTAATGACATTGACCTTTATCTGAATGGCTTTTCACTTTCCAATGAGTTATTTATTTATTTATTTAGTGGTACTGGGGTTTGAACTTAGGGCCTACACCTTGAGCCATTCCACCAGCCCTTTTATGTGCAGGGTTTTTTTGAGATAGGGTCTTGCAAACTATTTGCCCAGGCTGGCATCGAACCGTGATCCTCCTGATCTCTGCCTCCTGAGTAGCTAGGATTACAGGTGTGAGCCACTAGCATCCAGTTTAATGTTGAAACTAATACTGGACTCCTTATTGATCATTATTTAGTAAAATATTCTCTGATGCACACTATTTTGCTGCAGGTTCTTGGCCTGTGATCCAATACTAATCTGAACATGAGTTTAAGAATTGTTTTGTCTCAAGAATTCAAGAGCTATTCCTAAAAAGAGGATTAAGTAAAACCATGTTTGAGGCTGACTATAAGCCAGAGGATATACTCTCCAAACTCAGCTCTGCCTTGCTTGTTAGTTGCAAACGTTAGAAAAGTGACAGGTGTACAAGGGACCAAAAATGGGCAAAAAAGGGGAAAAGAGAGAACAAGGATGTGAACCATCAAGGGTAGATTCTTAAGAACAAATAGCCAGAAAGTGTAACTCCTGTAGTCAGAGTAGAGCCAGTAATGGAAGAACGAGTGGCTCACCATCATCAAAAGATTAGACTTGATTAACCGAGCACTTGGCATGAGTATCTGACCACTGAAGACAAAGGATGGATAGGAGCCAGGGGTTCTTGGATTCTAAAGGGAATAGTCAGGCAGGCCAAGCTAGGGCACATGATGTCATTAGCGAAAGGTCTACAAGACAATAGATGCACAAGACAGTGAGTGCGTACAATAGACAGGATGAGAGGGTCAGTAGCACTTTGGCTGGGGAGAATGGTGTGCCTAAAAGAATTAGCAATGACTTCACTGAGGAAGTAGAAGTTGTGGTGGACCTTACAGGATTTCTGCAGCAAAGGTGCCAGTGGATTAAGTTGGAAATACATGTACAGGGCAAGTTAATTTGGTGCAAACTGTCTTTGTAAGTACTCTGCTAGGTGGGATTTTAAGTAAGGTAAGTGCAAGAAACTTATAAGCCATACTGTATTCCAAACAAAGGTGAGTGAGGGAAAAAATCCCAGGAGGTTGAACTCAACACCTCAATTCCCCTGTTCCCTCAACAAAATATAGTTCATATACTCGATGGAGTGTTATTTATCTACAAAGAAGGGTGAAATTATGCTATGTGCAGCAAAATGGATAGAACTGGGGATCACCATGCTGAGCAAGATAAGTCAAGCTCAGAAAGGCGAATATCACATTTTTACTCATATAGCAATGTAGACCTAAAAAAAATAATATGATACTATCACAAAAGAGGAACTATTTGGGGAAGAAACCAGAGAGAAGGGGAGAGTGGGGAAAGGAGAAGATGATGGGGGATGAACATTAGGGAAGTACATTATATGCATATATGAAAATAGCATTATGAAAACCACTGACAATTATTAAAAGAGGAATAATAAAGGGGGGTTTAAGAAAGAGGGGTGAATTGAATCAAAGTACATTGTATGCATGTGTGGAAATATCACAAAGAAATCCCTTTGTATAATTAATTCACATCAACTAAAAGGAAGCGAGAGAACAAATACTCTATATCCACTAAGAACAGATCACCTAGTTTCCTTGCAATACAAAGCCACAAAGCTCTAGTCTATAAACTAACCTATAAGCAAATGCTATGACATCAATCAATATTCCATATGGTCATGGCTGGGAAGGAACCAGAGTCACAAACTGGGCTTTTCAGTCACAGCTGAACCTAGGTGTCATCATAATTTGTAATATGGTTTTCATGATTCATAGCAGATCTATGATGAAGGGTAGCATCACTGAATACATTGGAAATTTCCCCCTCATGAGGAAAGGTGGCACACTAGTAGCTTTATTCATTTTTTGATAGTGAAAAACTGAATCGATTTTTTTCTTCACTAGAACTCCCAGGAGAATAGATTAATGTGTAGGCAGGGGGTCGGGGGAGGGCAAGAGTGGATATCATTTACTTAGAAGTTATGTTTTCATGGTGGCATACAGAAGGCTATTTACAGTGATGTATCATGAAATGTTCCCACATCTTCTCTCCTCCCACACAGCAGTGACATCGGTCCGCTACAAACACAGAGTCTGAAGGCAAACCCCGCTGACAGACAACCGGAGACAGCAAGACTTGGGGAGGAGGGCAGACCCCTACTGTTCTTATGTCATCCTCAAGGGCACCAGCAATGACATGGCTTAGTCAATTTCCCTGAGTGAAGTAGCAGTCTGAACTCCACCACCCTCCTACGGCCCTGCAAACAGAGCAGCTGACAACAATGCATGTCCTGCAAGGCAGGAAAAACCTTGGGAATAAAGTTTGTATAGTGTTTCCTAAACTGTAGAAAATTGCTAAAGGCTATGTAATCTCCTTTGTCCTGAACTTGAACTGATTAAAATAAAAGCTGGGGCTCATTCCTGAAACCCTAGCTATTCGGGAGGCAGCGATTAGTAGGTTCACGGTTCAAAGCCAGACTGGGCAAATAGTTCACAAGACCCTAGCATGAAAAAAATAATTAGCATGTACAAGGGAGTACCCTGAGGATTGTTTTTAATCACTAACTGCAGAAGTAGTGCAAGAACAAGCATTGTAATAGAAGAACTTCAGATTCAGCTTTGGGATATTCTTGAAAGAAGAAAGGCTATATACAATATACATATATATTTGATATGTAGGTATGCATTTAGATATACTTTGAACATTCTTTTCCTAATAAATACCTATAATGATTATCTAATTTTCTCTTCCATGTTTTTTTTTAATGCTGTAGTGAAGCTTTGTGTATTTCTTTTAGCAAAGGATCCTCTCAAACAGTGCTAGTCACAAAGAACTCAGAGCTGTACTGCTCTGCAGTGCCCTCTTCTGGCTTCGAACGACACCGACAGTCACCTGAATCAAAACATTAAGGAATACACAGACCCCTTTCATATGTAGCAATTTTAGACCATAAATAGTTATAGAAGGAGTCAGTAACTGCTTGCTTTGTATTTAAATGTATCAGAGACATGGGAATTAAAAAGAAGGGAATGGGAGATATGTTTGCCTTGAAAAAAAGTGAAAGATTAGTTCAATTCCTTGATTGAATTAATGAGCAAAACCAAGCAAATTATATTTAAATGTCCAAATAATGCAGAAATGATATTTAAAGCTTTAAACTTTTAATTAAAAACATGGTTCCAGGACAGGAGGACATAGGATGTAGCTCAGTGAATGAGTGCCTAACCTGTGTGAGGATCTGGGTTCAAACTCGAGCAAAAGAAAACAGTATGTTTTCACATGTGTGCACTTTAGCACAGAATCAAGAGCCTGAAGTTCAACTCAATTTGCTCAGTTATTTGTGCTTGAATAATTTGGACTGGAAGGACAGAATCTTTAAGTCAAAGAACTGGTTTGTGTCCCCTGCAGGTTTTAGGAGCGTGCATTTGGCCAAGAGCACACTTGTGGTATAGTTCTCTGCAGCCCCTGTCCTCCGACAAATCAGTGGCTGTCCACCTGGGTTTGGTCCCTTTGGCAGGGCCACTGGTGGTATCGTGTTCTGTCACCAGAGGCAGATGTGGTCCGGGAATCTCTCTTATTTCATATTGGTAGCACTGATGCTCATTGCATAGGGTATTGATTCATTCAGTTTGTAAAACTGTCATTTTTTTTTCATTTATTAGCTGGAATGCTTTTTTAGATGAGATCAGGCATATTCAGGGTGACCATAGACTAAAAATTTTTTTTAAATGACATGCTCTCTCTCTTGTATTACTTGGTTACCCAATGGTACGATTCATATGGAAAAGGCAAGATAAATACTTCTGAACTTTTACTCAGTTTTCATATAACGACTTGATTTTCTGTGATTCTCTTGAGGTAAGTAATTATTATTTTGAAGATATCATGAACTCAAGGTTTAAACGTATTTCATGGATTTTAGTCCATTACAATTGCTATTCTTACTATAGGTCAAATGTTCAACAGCTTATTGGAAGCTTTGGCAAGTTGTCCCATGGGTTCTTTTGACATGACCCAAGTAGTCTTTGAGAAAGCTTCTGTGATCTCAGGTATGACAAGATTCCCAAAGTCCCACGTGTACTTCCTATCCTGAAGCAACAGTTTTCTCCAAGAAGCTCTGAAATCTAGATCTCAGTGATTATGGTCATTGTTACTGAGTTGGCTACCGTTTCCAGGACTTTGCCTGGATTGATTCTATAGTTTCAATTTAAATTTAGGACACTGGGATTTTACCTAAGCTCTGCTATATGACATCTATATCTTTTTTTCCTCCTATTTCAAGACTCTTGGTTATCAAAGACACAGGGATGATAGAATTAGGCTAACTTATAATCACTCACCAGTTTTACTTCTCATTCCATTGTTTCAGAGTAATTACAGCCAGCCCAATCAAGACAACTGGTAAACGTTGAAAAGTGTTTGCTGTATTCTTCTCTTCCTCCTCCTCGTTTGTACATGTGTACTGTCCCCATATTATCAGTGCAAACAGCTAGATAATACTTGATTCTTTAGTTCCAACCTCTTGTAGTCTCAGCTCTTCTGTACGCATGCCTCCCTCCAATGTTTGTGTCAATGTCTGAGTTACCTTTATAATTCACTTGGCTGTTTGAAGCTTGTTGTTTTATTTCTTTCCTCAGGAAAGCCTCATGGGAACACCATTACTTTCATATTACATTTCTTATATGGTGGCATCTTAATAATTATTCTTCTGTCCTTTTAAACT